AAGATGAGAGAAGTGTGAAATAACGCTCAAAGAAAAGCTCACTTAGTCATAGACTCTGCTTTCCTGTAAGCCCCACACAAACCCCTCTAGCCCCAACCATCAAGCCAGGTCCGACTGCACCTCCTTCATTCATTGCTCTGTGCCACAGCCCACCTGTTTTCTTCTTCTTGGAGTATTCTCCCTCCTCCTCAACATGTATTCATATCCTGCTTTGATTCAGGAGCCAACTTGAGCCCTTCTATGTCCCCTCCTCCTCCTCCTCTTTCTCCTTCTCTTCCTCCTCCACTTCCTCCTCCTTCTCTTTCTCCTCCTCTTCCTCCTCCTCCTCCAAACCTTTCCAAAGTTTCCATCCCACTTAGCATCCCTGTACAGTCTTTCGAGTACCAGTAGTTTCTTTATTTAAACCTACACTGTGAATGTGTGCTTTTTATAATGTCATGTCTCATCTTGATCTTCAGTTAGGCCATCTGAGTGTCACTCCCCATGAGAATTACAATCTCTTTTATGGCCAGACTCTCATAGTTTGTTAAATTACCTGTAACCTGAAGAATGATGTATTATAGAACCTTTAAAGTTACTGGTTTGAATTTAATTTCTTTTGAAAAGGTTTTGGAATCTCATTTCTTGCTTCCTTTCCTAGCTCTGTATGTGGAAGCATATGGCTGTCTTTCTCCATATGTTAATGCCTGTGTGTGCAATAGATGTGTGGTGAGCGGCGCTACATTGGGCATATCCTTTTTTCTCATGGGCTGAGGCTCTCTGAATTTCAAGTATTTGATCTGAAAGTGAACTAAAATAGTCATCACTGTGATATAATCTCTTATGGATAGATTATATATTGCATTCATTAAGAGGAAAACAAACTTGCAATTATAGAAGAAAAAATATTGTATCTTTATAACTGACAGAGCAAAGTAAAGAACTGAAAGAAAGAAGGGAGGAAATTTTATCATTTTATCTGAATATGACAGTAAATTTTAAGGTCTATTTTTCTCTTTAAAAAAATAAGAATACCCAAAATACATAGCGTGCTTTAGAGTTTAATGTTTTCCATGTAAATACCTATTGTTCCTCAGAATACCTATAAGGTAAACATGGTGAGTATTATTCCCATTATACAAATGAGGAAACACTTGGATTTCAATCTGTTATCACGAAGCCCATTTTTTTCTCTGTAAGAGGAATTAGATGAGTATTGTAGCACGCTCAATGTGCTTGTTTGCTAACTGTTCCCCACCCACCTGTAAGTCCCATGTGGTCAGAGTCGCCTGTCTTGTCTGTGCTAATTCTAGAACCCAGGACAGTGCTGCCACTTTGTAAGGACTAAACAAATGCTTGTTCTGTGAATGAAGTTTGTAGTCTCTGGAGTGAAAGGGCTGAGAAGGAAAGCTAGTTATAGCAGCTTAGGGTAATGAGTGTGAAGAGACACTGGGGATCTTGTTAAAAGGATGATTCTGATTCTCTAGGTCTAAGGGAGGGTGGGCAGGAGTGCTGAGATCTGCATTTCTAACCGACCTCGTGCCTTGAAACTCCAAGTATGCTCCAGGTCAGCCTCAGTGGCATCACCAGGGAGCCGTTCTCCACCCTCACAGGAGACTCCAATCAGAGCCACTCCTCTGCTGGGATGGAAGTGAACGCTCTGCAAGACAGTTGTGTATTGGCATTCCCTGGCTGCACACCCTTTGAGAGCTGCCCCAAGGCTTCTGGATGGGTGGTTGGCAGGATCACCTGCAGAGCTTTGTCAAAACCCTTGCCTACCCTCCTAAATGCTGGGGTCAGTGAGTGGGCGAGACACGGCTTGGGGATTTTTAAGAGATCTCCGAGTGCTTTAGGAAAAGGGGAATCATGCTTAGAACCACTGACTGCACCCACGCTGGGGTCCTGGGAAGGCTGCTCCTGGACTAACTCAGAGATAGACAAAATCTTGAAGCTGTCTTTCGATATTCCTGTACTTTCTGTGCCCTCTCTTGTGTATTTTACCCTATCATGCAATTCTACTACTTCTAATAATACTTGTGACATCCATCATTTCTGTTAGCTAGAAATTAGTTTGGCATTTCTGCACATTCCCCAGGGACATTTGGGCTTAAGTCATCTCTATGAACTAAGAGTCCATTTCCTATTCAAATAGCAGGATACATGACCAGCATCACTTGGATTCAAAAATTCTTCTCTACCTATGTGGAAACCAACCCCCCCCCCCAAAAAAAAAAATCCCAAACCCTCCTTCCCCACCCCTCACCCTAGCCCTTTTCTTTCAACCTGGGCTTTCTTGGATTTAAGATGGACTATTGAAGTTTTGTCTATTTTCATTTATTTATGGAGACAAACTACTGTGAGGTATTCATAATTAATTATCTGCAGTTAACACTAATCGTATTTTTGATTCTATGAAGAACTGAATTCTACTTTTAAGAAAACATTTTGTTTACTCTTGATATGATTAATGTTAACAAAATGATGTCACTCTGCAAACTGTTGCTTTTTCTAGTATGTTAGTGTAAAGTGTATACAGTCATATGGATGAGGAAACCCCACTTCCGGTTGCCTATACCTAATAGCAGGTGCTTTATGATGGACAGTTATAGCTTGAGAGCTAGTAGTGAAATGTGTGCAGTGCCATCTAGTGGTATATCATCATTCTAGCATACCTACATGTCCTCATTTTCTAAAATGCTCAACAGAAAGCAACATATTTATACAACTGTCAGACTTTAAAACAGACCCTTTACTAACTGCCTAATGACTCTTGATTTAGCACATTTGTTCCTCCTCAACTCAGCAGAAGAGCTGTGATACTTACCTTTCTCAATGATAATTAGTAGCTATTGAACTATGCTTATTGTGCGTGAAATACTGTATAAAATGCTTTTCTTGTATTTCTGGCCCCTTCACAGCCATTACCTAATCCAGCAAGTCACAGAATTTCTAGTTACCTGTTTGTGTGACTGTGACTCATCTCTGTCCCCTTCAGGCTCGGTCCCCTGAGGCAGGAGCCACATCTGCATTGTTTGCCATTGAGTCCCTAGGCCCTACCCAGGACCTGGCACATAACTGTGAAGCCTCATTTTACTTTCATCTATAATTATCTGGTCTATCAGCCATAATTACTATTTCCTTTCTTTTTATATGGAGACTTTAAATGTGAAAGCCCAAATATAGATCATACTTATTTTTAATAACGTTCACATGATTTCTAGATATTTTATGTGTCCATATTATTATTTCCTAGGTAACATGACCTATCCAAACAATTTGTAAGCATCACCCCATTTATTTCTCCCCCCCCCAATTTATTCTATATCGTAACCATCTGAGGGTAGATGCTTTTGCCAGCCCCACTTTGCCAAGATGAAGACTCAGAAAAGTCAAGTAACATAAAACATGGGATGCAAACCAAGGTTTATGTGATTCTGCGTGACTACACCATATTGCCTCTTTAGCAGTCACATGCACATTCACTGTTGAGTCATTGCCTTTTCATGTGTTAGCCAACAGATAGGTATTAAGCTCCTGTGGTGTGTGAGGCTGGGGGCAGATAGAGTCTCATCCTGTGCAACATGCAGTTGCAGAGGACAGACAGACAACCAGCTGGCCTGCACAGAGTCCACTAAATAATTGGGAGAACAGGGTCCCAAGGTGGCACGCAGGAGGGTGCAAAACCTAGAGGTGAGAGATCCAGACAAGCATCCTTGAAGAAGTGGCATAGATGAGAAATAGATGAGAAGAAAGTGGGGCCAGGTCTAAAAGAACTTCACAACCCATGTTGAAGAGTTTCAATTTAATGGGAAGTTATTAAAGGAGTTGACACAACATACAAGTGACAGGTCAGATATGCAGTTCAGAAATGCCACCTTGGCTACAGTGTTTAGAATGAGTTGGAGTGGACAGAAAATGAAGATGAAGGAATTGACTTAATCAATGAGATAACGGTGATAACATTGGGTGGTGGGAATAAGAGCCTGTGGAAATGGAGGGCAGTCATTGATTGCATACGAGATATGAGGATCCAGGAATGAAATCCAGATTCTAGCTGGGGTGGGGGAAGAATGTAGGGGCTGAGGCCATTCATTAAGGGAGGGAACCCCAGAGAAAGTGGGCTTGGCAGAGAGGAGATTAGTGTAGGCTGGGCACCCAAAGGCTGAAGTTCCTGAGGGACGTGCCCCCGCCCCCCACTGTCTATGGATGTGCTGGCTGCTTCCATGGACTCCTATGATTCCACCCCTGGGAATCCTGGGAGCCCCTTTGTGCCCCACAAAGACTCTCCAAGAGAAACCTAAGCATCCAGATGCCCTCCTCTCCCAGCAGCAATTTCTCCTTCTTGGCTTGTAGCCATCTCCCTCCGATGCTCAAGTTCACCATTCCTGTGCCTCTTCTCCAGTACCTGTTTCACACGACCCATAGTCAGGAAGAAGATAGTAACCTACTTCCCTTGGTGGCCTGGGTAAGATAGTGCAACTACTTTGAGAAACACTTTGGGAGATTTTCAAAAATTAAACATATACCTACTATATAGCATAGTCATTCATTTCTAAGTTCTTACCAAGAGTACTGGAAGCTTGTGTCTGTACAAAGGTTTGTACATGATTGTGCATATCAACTTTATTCTTTATCACCAAAAACCAGAACAACCCAAAAGTCCATCAGCAGGTGAGTTGACAACCAAATTGTGATATATCCCTCCAATAAAATATTATTCGACAACAAAAAGGAACAAACTACTAATGCAACCAACATCGTGGATGACTCTCAAAATGGTTACACTAGTACAAGTATCCAGACTACCCCCAAAAAAACAACAACAAGAGTACACACTGGATGATTTCAGATATATAGAATTCTAGAAAACCATGTCAGAAAGCAGATCTGTGGCTTGGGACAGATTTCAAAAGAGACTTTTGGGAATGATGGATGTATTATCTTGATTGTGGTGATGGTTTCTGGGATGTCATAACAAGACTTCGGGGCTGACGAATTCCCTTTCCTTTACCTGTGCGCAGTGCACCTGGTGGACATCTGGAACGTCATAGAAGCTCTGCGGGAAAATGCGCTCAACAACCTGGACCCCAACACGGAACTCAGCGTGTCTCGCCTGGAGGCTGTGCTCTCCACCATTTTTTACCAGCTCAACAAGCGGATGCCCACCACACACCAGATCCACGTGGAGCAGTCCATCGGCCTCCTGCTCAACTTCCTGCTGGCGGCCTTTGACCCGTGAGTGCCTTCCGAATGGCAGTTGCGTTTTACCTGTTCTTCTTGTGCCTTCTTGGTCTTTATTGCAAATAATGTTTTCGAGTAACCAACCTACTGCCTATTTTGTCTTGATCAGATACTCATTTCAATCCAGTTTCTCTGTTTAACCTAAATGTTAGCTGCTGTGGAAAAGGCTAGAGAGTAAAACAGGAAATTGAGTACAATTGTATTTTATGTCCTGACCTGTATTTAACTCATCCCAGGCTTTCTAGAAGCTTTGGACGCTTGAAAGTGTGTGATGGCGTGCCCGGGAAGTGATTTAATGAAGCATGCAGAGAGAGGGTGTTTTTCACTCTCTTCTTTGCAAATTGCCCAGGACAGTGTTTCTGAGGGGAAGTGACCAGGCCTTGGAGCAAACAGTGAGAGGTTGTAAGGGGTGTCTGGGCCAGCCCAGGGAGAGTAGCTATGACCTGCCTTCCATGGCCTGGCCGAGGACAGGCCACATAAAGCAGAGTGAAGCTATCCACGCACCACGATTGAAACCCAGCCTCATTATCTCATCATTTCCCCTCACGGAATCAGAGACTTCAGAGCTGCCTGAGATCTTACAGACGGTGCTTCCAAATCTCCCTTTTTACGGGTAAAGGAGCTGAAGCACAAAGAGACTGTCATTGTCCAGTCCTCAGCGTGGCAGTGGCAGGGGCAGGGCGGGTGCTTAGGTATTCAATGGCAGTGCTTTCTCCGAGGCGCAGTGGCAGCCTTGTGAGATATAAAAACTCCCCTGAATTACATGATCAGCCTGTAATTTCAAAGGGGTTCTTGTGAAAAGCCTCCGGCCTAGAGATCGTATCAACGCCTCCACATTTGCTACTGGCTTTGACTATTAAAAAGGGAAATTACTAACTTGACCTTTCAGCAGTCACACTTTAAGACTCTCAGAAGAGTTTCAGCCTCAGTCTCATTGTCTGGCCAATGCCCAGGAATAGGTAAGGCGGGCACAGGGGACGATCCAGCCAGGCTGCCATGGTTATGCCCCTGACTGACAAAAGTCCCCAGCTGTCCCTTTGCAACCCCATGTGCTAACAGAAGTGTTTGTGCTCAGTCTGACCAGGATACATTGTTCTTTCTGAGATTCTTATGTTCTGAGAAATTCTCAAGTTGCAGTAAACAATTCTACAACCAGAAAGACTCTATGCACAGTCTGTACTGACCTCAGAGCTGATGTACTGCTTTGGGCTAATCACTATGGTAACTGAACAGGGCAGGTAGAGAGGCTGTGGTTCCACATGACAGGTGGAAAAAAGGAACCAGGCCATGGAAGTCCTAGAAGGAGCGTTCCCATCCTGTCCCATTAGCAAGAGCAGGGCAGCTTTCAGGCTCACCAGTCGAGTCTTTAAGGGACTTATTTGTTATTAGAGGCCCTATGCACAAAGATTCATGCAAGAATGGGCCTTCCTTCCCCTGGCTGCTGCTGGCAGCGCCTTTGCTCTGGCCAGAGCCACCTTTTTGCCTTCCTACACTGCCAGAGGCCTGGAGCAGCGGAGGTGTGATGGGAGCGTCACCTTCCCCTGATTGCTGGTCACCTTCCATCCTTAAGGGCTCCTGGACTATGAGAGGGGGAAAGCCGGGCTGAGGGACCCCCCCTCCAGCGCATGAATTTTCATACACCAGGCCTCTAGAGGAAAATATAAACAGAGTAATATCAATATAATTTCCTGCTAACGCTTGGAGTATTACTGGATCATTCATAAAGAATCAAAGCTAAAAAAATAACTTGGGTACACTCTATAAATATCAAAACAGGGGAAGATTAATAATTAGGAAGGGGGATTTAGTAAAATATATGGAACTTAAACTTAAATATAATAGGTTTATATTTTTCACTTTTGTTTAGAAATATTGGGAAGATCATTTCAAAAAGTAGAGCTGTAACTTTTTTTTTTTTTTTTAAATAATGATGATACAGTGGCTGAATTATTTCAAGAAGGATGAACGCTAAGCTTAAGGATTATCCCCAGGTCAGGCACAGTTCACACAAATGTTCAGAAGAAAATCTTGCTTGGTTCCTACTCTTCATGCAGATAGGAATGCCCCTGACCTCATGGAAGATGGCTAAACATATCTACATGGAGAGGTCTCATGATAGAGACACATTCACATAAGGGACCCCAGACTGAAGGTACTTCCGCTTTCGATCCTTGGACAGAGCAGATGAGTATGTGCCACTCTACTGATAATCAAATGTAAGACAATGTGAGATATAAGCTCCCAGGAAGCACAGATATCTGAAAATTCAACTTACAAGTGAATATAAGAAGGGAAACAAGAATAAAATGAATGTTGATTCTATTTCTTATCATTGTAAACTCCTGTTTATCCAAATGAGATCCAGTATGGAAATCTGATGTCACCTTCTAACCACCTATCCTGTGAGCCACACATGTGATTATAAAGGAGCCCCTGTATGTTGGTCGTCATGAATGAGGCTGATACTAGAAGATCAAGGTTGTGCTGTTGCTATTATAGAATCACACATTTAAGAGATTTTCTTTTATTTGCTGTATTTAAATGAACAAATTAAGAAAAAAATACACATAAAATCCATAGTAAAAGTTAGAGATACCTTAAGTACCTGAATAAAAAAGGAAAGACATTATACCAATGTAAATTCATGAAAATAAGAACTTGGATTCACAGAAATGGGATCATCATTTTCATGGTGCCTTAAAATTCACCAAACCTACCCAGTTGAACTCTGCCAAGAAAATGATCCGAAATGAGGAAAGGATCTCTTTGGAGTATTCTAAGGACTTTTACTGTTGTTCTTTTTTAGAAAATTGAAAGTACAAAAGAAAAATAACATGGCAGAAAATTAGATGAAAATAATTATTATTTCAACAGCTTTTTTGAGGTATAATAGTTACCTTGAAACTAATTCTTAAAAGTGTGGCCTTTTTGAGTGGTAAGGTCTCAAGATCAGATACACAGTGGAGCCCTTCCCCCGTCGTGGCTGAGCTGCTCACCCTTCCCCACCTCCCAGCTCCTTGAACGTGATTCTGCTCGTCTCTTTCAGCACGTGTCTTACTGCTTGTCTGCCTGGTTCTCACAAGCTGCCTCAGAGTGTAACCAGGTCTTCTTTGTGCTCAGAGCATCTAGTACAATATGCAGCTCATAATGAATCGCCGGATGAATGAATGAATGAATGAATGAATGAATGAATGAAAATCAAAGAATGACTTTTCTTAGCTCTTGTCACACCAATTTCATTGTTTTCTGAGCTTGAGTCCTCCTTGATCTCCGATATATTACCAAGACTAATGAGTCCAAGTTGGCTCTGTCACCAAGATTCGCAACCTCTATTTTAACTTCTGTTCCACAAGAGGGGAAAATCAAACATTCACAGTCATTAATGCACATGGTCCTATTTTTACAAAAGATTTCAATATATTTGTCTTGCTCTCTTTCTACTCCTGGGAAAGACTAACATCAATTTAGGGTGTTAACTTAATCTCATTTCAACTCAGGAGAATCTTTCTTGTCAGGTTAGTTCCTCGTTAAGTAGATTATGGGACCATGGCCTTGTTTTTAGCAAATATTGATGTCACATATATTCAGCCACTCAAAACTCATAGTAGAACAATGGTAAATATTAAAAGTAATGGTGATTTTTCTACTCTCAGGGGTCCAGATACATTTTTCAGGCCAATTCTCTAATGATGATAAAATAATCATTGTAATATAGCTAAGATGCCCTCCTCATTTGCTGTGTCCCAACCATCTTACTGATCTGGCACTATATTATCATAATTCTCCAGGGTGAGTAAGTGATGAAGCTGAGACAAGAGGTTAAATAATTTACAGGTCGCACAGCTGCATACTAGATGAGGTGAGTGGAGAGAAAAGTCAAAATCATTTTGTTTCAGGAAGCAGTTTAAGTTCATTTCTATTCATGCTTTCTGTTTCGTTTTTTAAATGAGAATTAATGGACTTTTTCCCCGGGCTTCCCCTGCTTATTACAGGATATTATTATTACCCTCACATTTCTAGCCTTTTTCAGTGTGTGGTATTTAGACATGCTTGACAGAGTGTATGTGAAAGATATATTTGGACTTAACAAGTTACACATTGTAGATTTAGAGTCATTTTTATGATTGCCATCCAGAACTCAGATCCGTAGTCTCTCATAGAGAATATAGAATACAAAATCCTGGTCTTTTCCTCTCTGTTTGACATATGGCACCACGCTGAGCCATTTGAACATCCATTCCCACTGCTGACCGCCCTGCCCCCAACCCCCGACATGATGAAAGGAACCACAACACTATTAAGATGGATGGATGTGAAATAATTTTGGAATTCTGCCAAAATCCTTCTGCCTTTTGAATTTTAAAAATTATTCTGATGTTTAATGCAAGATGTGTTACAGAGAACACAGCCATTTCTCTGTGCAAAAAAACAAAACATGTTGTTCACTTTTGAGGCAAAGGAAAAAGAGAAGAGTCATATGAAACCAAATGTTTGTGTGTTTTTTTCTCCATTACCCATATGGCTAGAACTAAATATTTAAAATTGTGCTTACTTGGCTCTTCTATGCACATCTTAAATTTGAGATAGCCATAGAATTTTCTCATCTAAAATTTTGTTCTGGAAGAAAATACTTACGTTGCTAAAAATGGAATCACTTTCTGAAGGGTTTTCGCAGCTATAGACAAATTGAACATCTCCATGCCACTCCTCTTTCTGACTTATACTTTGGATGAGTAGCAGATGGGATTTCATGGGGGTAAGGGAGACAATGTCGACAGTATTGGCCCCTTCCATTCTGGAGAAACTTCTGGCAAACTCCCCTGGCCCAGGGCTACGAGAGATTTTCTTCCCAGATAGTTTGCTAACCTCAATGCCAGGGGCAAATGAGGGTTTTCTGTCTGTCCACATGTTAACTTCTCTACATTCAAAACAAGAGTTACTTATGTGATCTAGCCCAAGTTATGTATGTGATCACTTCTAAATTCAAGGGATCA